ACACACACACACACACACACACACACACACACACACACACACACACACACCCTATCCTTGGTTAATCTGTACCTAGATTTATTCGATTCCATAAGGGCAGTTGGATTTCCTAATGCAGTACTACCCAATAACCAGGAAGTGGCAGCATTGCATCAAAAAAGCCTCCAGCATCTTAATTCCACAGATGCAACAAAGGTAGACTCAAAGTAAACAAAAGTTTTAAACAAATGTATGTAGCTGTGATAGACACAACCTTCCTGAATAGGTCAGGAATTGAGTTGAAGATTAAACGTCTGTAAAGGGAGGCAGTGAGTTGTTTGGGAGGGTATGAAACTAAAACTCGGTAATCTAGGATTCTAGTCCTGTCTGAGGTCATGATTAGCTGGGGGTGACCTTCGTGGAGTCACCAAGCCACCTGAGAAATAAAGGGACAGAACGAGATGATTTCGACAGTCTCATTCTATCTTATACACTTATGTTTAGACTTCTTCCCTAGACAAAACGAAGCAGATAAAATAGGGTTGGTGGGTGTTTTCTCTGTATCAACATAATGGCATTAACTAACATTACCATCCTAAACAAAGTTTTACAAATTAAAATGTCATCTTCCTGGAAGCTAACTGCTGTGCTCTAAAGAACAGCAAAAGGGGGCAGAGAGCACCCCCTCTCCCAGTAAAGGCTACCAAAACCAGTTCACACCCACGGGTGCTGCTCAAATGTTAACACGGGAACTCTTCATCTTCTCACTAGCCAAAGATTCTGCTCAAAATCACAGAAAATTAAAGGTAGAAGTGAACGTGGAGATCCTATGAGTCAACCCAAATCACCTGGCTTTGAATCATGGCTTTACAACTTACTAAACTGTGTGACTTCGGGCAAATGATGTCTCCAAGCCTCAATTTTCTTGTATATAAATGAGGAAAAAATAATAGTCTCTAGCTCATTAGGTTGTGAGAATTAAATAAATGAATGTGAGTAGAGTGGATTGGCTTTCAATAAATGTGGGATATTACTATCACTGCTTTACAGATGAAGAGAGGAGTCAAGCTGCAGTACGAGGTGGCTTATAAATTTGCTTTCCTCTGATTCAAAAGCATGCTAGTAACAGCAATACAAAATAAATCATGTAGAAACTAGGGGGAAGTATCTTCATTTTTGCAACAATTCGAGAAGCATATAAAGTATTTCTAACAAAAATATGCCTCATTATTGACTAGCGATATAATTGTAGGACTCCATAAAGGTCAAAGTGGTTATAAATGACACATTTTAAACAGAATGTGGTGAGAAGCTTCCTATGTGAAGGCACCCTGGGGTACATTTCTGAATAGAGATGAGCCCACTGGGAAGTCAATACTTTCCCACCATTTTATCTTTACGGAGAGGAGAGAGAAGAGAGACTGATGTTGACTGATTATTACAGGTGGTTGAAAACCACCAAGCAGGAGCACCTCCAGTCTGCTGCTGACGGTCAAATTTCACAGGAATGACTCTGTGTGTGTGTGTGTGTGGGGGGTGTATGGGGGAAGGGAGGGAGTGGCGGGTGTGCTAAATTGTGAATTCTTCCACATCCCTGGCCTGGATTTCTTTGAAATGAGGGATGTATGTAAGTTTAAGGAAATAAAGAGTTCAATAGAAGACAAGCCCATCCCCACCCGGGTGGGTGTTTGGGAGCAGAATAACGGAGGATTTCTAGAGCTTTGAATGTTCACCAGTAGGCTGAAAATTAATGACTTAACAAGTCAGAGCTGAAATTCGATATTCAGAAAGAGGTAACTGGCGAAGGTGAACCAGAGAGAAAGGAAGGCAACAGCAACGGGAAAAGGAAGCAGGAGCGACTGCTAAACGGACGTGGGTTCACCTTGCCAACAGCATACGTGACTGCCCCAAATG